TTTTTTTCCAGATGGTGGTCAGACCAAGCTAAAGAAGCCCAATACAATACCTAATATGAATTTTTTCTTGCCATTTATCCTCCGTCTACTTTAGTAGAATTCCAAGAAAATTTATCTCAATATGCCCCTTCTTCCTCAAATCGGCCGAGCCCTAACGCGGGAACCCTAACGGACACCTGCTTTCCGCTGAGCCCTCTCCTAGACACGTCAGACGAAGTCCGGAGGTTCATAAAGCAACCCTACAGCTTAGCAACAGGTCATAAACGCCATTCGAAGGGAGTTGGTATACACCAACGGTCAACGGGTTAATGCCGTTTAGGGAATACAGCCACCTGGATGGGACAAGACAGAACTCCATCTACCTCGGGAGACTTGCATCACCATAGCCCTAACGCTCTGGCTACTGCAGCAGGCTAAACTGCTACCTGAGTGGGATAAATGCAGATGTGCCCAATCAGTGCCCGGCTTGCAGGGAGTCGCCTCATTTAATAAGCGTTGTAACACTTTCGATATATCCAAAGACTTTGTTTTGTTAGTCCCACGTATACAATACCTTGCGATGTGGCAGACCAAAACGTATGGTTTAACGAATTTCAAGCCACGAGTAGTCGTAGGGTTAAATAATTTTTTGAATCAAATCATCTCTTTCAAAATGCTAATGTCAGAGAGAAAAACTAAAAACGTGTTTTACCATGTTTGGCCAGTACGTACGTTAGCGTGTTGATTGTTTCGTGTGTTTTGATATTTTATTTATGAGTTAAAAAAGGTATACAAAAGTACTCAAAGATATAAAATTAAGTTTATAATTCTGATGCCCGGTTTCACCAATCATTTTTAAAGTTTATTGGACTGCTAAAATTTAAAACTGAAAATTTTTCAAACAAAATTGTGATATTTCAAATTTTAAAAGTCTGATAAATTTAAAACTGATTAGAGACACAGGGCATGGGTGCCTTTTTTCAAGTATGTTTTAAAATCAACCTTATTTTTAGCCGTTGGGTTTATATTTGAAATATATGATACCTACATACATAGAAGAGAATAACTCTACAAAGAACTTTTCGACTTTTTCTAATTGATTTCGAACACCTAATTGAAAAGTGTTAAGTAATTATTTTGTTCTCTCTCTCTGCATAGGTTTCCTAAACGCAAACACAGATCGTTACTCAAAACTGCCAGCCAACTATGGCCTAATGGACATTATTGCTGCGCTGCACTGGTTGAAGGAGAACATCGCTGCCTTTGGTGGTGATCCGCAAAGTATTACACTGGCCGGTCATGGCACGGGTGCAGCGTGTGTGCATTTTCTCATCTCATCGCTGGCAGTGCCGGAAGGTACCAAACGAATAATAGCAGCAATTGCAAAATATGTGTTCAACGTAATAAATTTACTTTCCGCAGGTCTGCTCTTCAATCGCGCCATACTCATGTCCGGCTCCGGGCTGGCGCCTTGGTCGCTAGTCAGCAATCCCGCGAAATATGCAGCCATTGTTGCACATCATGTGAATTGTGCGCCTGATCTGCCGCATGCACATCTCATGAAATGTCTGCGGGATAAGACGCTGGAGCAACTGCTGGGCGTCCCCATACGTCAGCCAGAATTCGGTTTTGCCTTTGGACCGAGCATTGATGGCGTGGTAATCGATGGCGGCGACTATGTGCCGCCAGCGCCTGGCTCAGCGGCTGCACAAGCTCAAGCCTCGACTGCTGGGAGTGGTGGCCTCGGTGGTGGTGCGGGCATTGCAGCTGCGGGTGGCTGGGGTACACCAGGACAGCTGGAGAATATTGGTAAGTAGCGATGATTGTTGCAATGTGTGTAAAGCTATGTGCATAAAGTGGTGAGCGGAAGAAATTTGTTTTTATGAAATTCATTTCAATTATAAAATTTCGTAATTAATTTCCGATTTACTTCGCGTGTATGTCTGCTTTCAATTCCCTTTTTTCATGAATTTAATGCTTTACTTGGTTTCATCACGTCTGACTCATCTCGTCTTGTGGCTGCCTTCGTTTTACATTCAAAATGTATTACCGGAATTACAACACATTATCGCCTTTGCTGCATCCGGTGTCTCTGATTACTGTCGCTGCGGATACGCGGATATGCATTTAATGCCATCCTCCAACTCCACCGGTGTCGGCTTCGCCTTGCTCGTTATCTCAATTAATTCAGTATTAATGAGGAAAACAGCCATTAACAAGTTGTCAAGGTATGTAAACTGCGACGGATTTACTTACCAATATTTGCGTATGTTTGATTGTGTTATTTACGTAGGGCAAGAAGGAAATAATTTGGTGCTTGGGGAATAAGTGTTTGTCCACGGTTGTAAATACGCAAAAATTAAAGTAGGTGTTAAAAGTTGTATAGGTAACCTACCGGTCTTACACACGTACATATGTATGTATAACATCCCCGTAGCGAATGTCATACATTAGTCACTTAAGTGTCTTTTACGGCCAGTTACGTCTTAAATGACTTTGGGCTCCGTTTATATAGAAGTCGTTCATGACTGTTTCATAGAAATGATGCTTTAGTGGTTGATGTCCTCTGCATGACTTTTTCCTGCAATGGACCTTGGTGACTTTCAACTGACAGTATCAAGATGCAATGGTCTTTGGTGACATTAAAGTGACATTATCGCACAATGTTCATATATAGGTGTCATACAACCGACAACAAAGCAGTCAAAGTTCCATTGCAGTTCATTTATTTAAGTACATGTTAATGTATTCTTTTAAAATTACATATGTTGTTAATTTGTTAAACGTTAAATATATTTTAGTATGGTTCTTGCTGATTTAAACAGAGGCCCTCTCATTTTATTTGTTTTTGTTCTGTTTCATTGCTAAGCTCAGTTCATTTACGTAGTTTTCGTATGTAAATCCAGAGGTTGCTTCTAGAAAAATTTAAAACATGTTAGAAACTTGAAATTACAGGGTAAAAGAAGCCATTCTGCCATTGCCTGAAAAGGGTTGCCACCTGTTGAAAAAAATTTAATTCAAATTATTTAGTGAGTTAAACGGATTGTCAAAATGGGGGCATTAATCGAAATGAGTTTGAAAATAATTTATTTCTGAACCGTATTTAGGAGAGCTGACACGTATTAGTAACTCAAATTGAACATAAGTGATCATTTAATTGAAATATGTATCACAATGCCAGACGAAAAAGATCTAAAAAGATGTTAGCTGAAAAATTCTTTTAAATAGGGTTGCCAACTTTAAAAAAAAGCGAATTTGTTTTACTTATACAAGATTTAAATGAAGTATCGAAATATTAGTGTGAAACGAAAGAGTTTAAAGAAAACTTTAGTTTGATAATACAGGCTCAGATTCAAACAGGTGGCACCCTTTTTCAAAAATATTTTGCCGAAAAAGCTTTCTTCAATTTCTTCCTTTTAACGATTGTATTATAATTTTTTATTTCACTTCTAATTAAATTTAATTGGCGGCAACCCTTTTTGAAAATATTTTATAAAATTTACCCTTTCTTTTTCGAAGTATTTTATAAATAAATCTTGCTTAAACATTTCTCGCACTTAACACCCATATTAAAATATTTCGGTGTCAACATTCTTCAGAAATATTTCGGCGTAAAGCTTTCTTTCGCCCTTCAAAAATATTTCTACAATGAACATTTTTTTAAACAGCTCCCGTCTGACACCCACATTAAAATATTTTATTTATACTAGTTGTTAATTAAATTGATTTTTAATTTCTCACGCGATGTCAACCTTCGCCAAAATATTTCTGAAATAGAGCTTCTTAAACCCCTCTCTCGTTGGATTCCCTCAGAAAATATTTAATTTAACTTGTTCATCAAATTGATGTTGACCTCCAAATTAGATGACAGCCTTTTCAGAATTATTAAAGCTTACTTAGTCCCCTCTCTTTTGACACCCGTAAGTATTACAATAATTTCTTAACTTAAACTTTAAATTAAATATGTTATAAATTTCCAAAGGGATGGCAATCCTTTTTAATAATATTTGCCACATGAAGCTTTCTCAAGGCTTTTGATTTTTTTCCCACACACAATTTTTAATCCTACTTGTTAATTTAATTGATTTTTCCTTATGTAACCTCTCTTTTGGATAACCATATAAAAAATTTAAATTACTGTTATTTTTCAACACAAATTTTCATTAACAACTGCCTCAAGCTCTAAAAAATTGATAATTAAAAATTGTTCTTAGGCCAAAAAATAACAAAAACATATTTCAGTTAACGTGTCGATTAAATTTAAGTTATCTTTTTGAAAAGGTGGCAAACCTCTTCATAATTAATTCGAAATAAATCGTTTTAGAACATATTTTTGCTGACACCCATACTAATTAATGGATTTTAACTTAAAAAAAATGGCAACTCTCTTCAAAAATTATGCTGTATTTATTTTAATTCAGGTCTTAGCCTATTCGTGCGTAAAATTTCATTGAATTATCATTTGAATTGGGTTGTAAAATTTTAAGTCTCATTTCGAGGTTGCAGCCAAAATATCTGTGAACTGAAAGTCAAAGTTCTAGGTCTTAGCTGCAGAACATTTAAGTGCATTTGACGACGCCTTTAGCCTTTAGTTTAGCAGCTTGGTGATTAATTTCTTTCAAGCTTTTAATTGCTTTAGCAGCACTAGTATGAGCATTGTTAATTCGAAAGCAGCTTTTGGTGTGCAACATTCGCTAATAAAAAGTAATTTTCTCCAATTTGTACACCTGCATATATTTAATAGAAACTAACATAAAGGCAATGCAATCATACATGTCAGCAGTCTGTACGGGTACATACAATGGTTGGGAAAGCAACCTAAACATATATGCAAAGCAGCTTGTTGTTCATCGAACTAACAAGCAACTTGGTATCCAGAGGTATATATGTATATAAGAACAACGCAATTCTACGAATATTCATATACATACATAAATATAACAGATATCTATTCCCATTGAGCACTCATACATGCTAATGCGTGTACTTGTTGTCCTGGTATTTGTGTACATTGGGGCAAGGATGCAAGCTGTGTCAAAGCTGAAATTACATTAATATTAGCGCATAATTAGCGGAATCTGCTATTAATTAGTGTTAAATAGTTTTGAAGTGACAACATTAGCTCCAACGAAACATGTAACACTCAGACATTACAAATTAATCACATTCAGCACCCTCGCACTGTGGCTTGTGTGTCGTTAGTGATATACGTATGTATGTAGGTTGGTATTATCGCACCCATATCTGCTACGAAATAAGCATGTATGCATATGTGTATGTATGTATTTGCAGAAACCGCCATAAGTTTTACGAAACTACAACCACAAATCATCTGCTTAGGAGCGCGGAACTGTATCTTTTAGATGCATTTTTCAATAGGTTATCTTTTTCGTCACCTACATACTACATTACCATGGCAACACAACCACATGCATTTGCGCATGTATGTATATATGTTTGCATAAACGTAAAGTAACCAATTGCTTTTAATAAACTTTTAATTAATTCCTTACTCCGTTCTTCCTGTTTTTTCACTTGCTGCTTAGTTATTTTCTAAAGCGTACTTCTGATGAGATTTAAGATCACATATGTAAGCGTATACGCGCTACTCACGATATATACATATATGTACATACTTACATAGATACGTATTTATGGCTAGGTGTATGCATGATAATGTGAATTGAAAGCATTGGGGCGTCTAATTCGATTAGACTTCATCAAATGATATGACTAAGCTAGCTATTATGCAATTAAATCCACACTCAAGTAGTGATGATTTAATGAGAGAGGTGACATGCGCTTACCATACCTATGTATATATTGAAACATATGTATACATATACATAGGTATATAACGGGTGATTTTTTAAGAGCTTGATAACTTTTTTTTTAAAAAA